TGTTTTTATAACTCAAATTAGTCTTTTGTTCATTTGATCTAGAAGTTTTCTACTTATATAAATTAAGTAGGAACGTAGTAGGCTTCCTATCAATTTCACTTATAGGAACACTGTGATTAGCTCAGAGCTCTACATGAGTCAGACTATTCTTATTGCCACTTTGCCTCTGCTCTCCATTACAGTAGCTATGCCCACCTTGCCTTTTGACAGTTGAGCACCACCACTTGGCCCCTGCCACCATGGGATCCAATTATTCCCATTGGAATTTAAATTTTGTAGTTGAGTTACTGCAGTTCTCACTGTTAGATCTGACATACAGACAAGAGCAATTACTGAGCTCATCAAAGATGTAGGTAATGCCGTCACAATTCTATTTCACCAGGCATTGATCAAGGGTATATGTCTTCTGTATCCTCCCAGCTGGAATGAGGAGGTCTAAAGTGACTAATCTACTCCACAATCTCAATCTCCATAAGCCTTTAGATTCTTTCCTCTACGTTAAACCTAAGGAGATCAGGCATTTCCAGCTGGCTCACAGTGGGCCATCTTTTAATCCGTATTTCAGCTAACCAAGCAAATAAACTATTAGAACCTTTTTAAAGTCCCCAAGCTGCAATATTAAAGAGTCTCTACTTAGTAAGCCCAGATCAATAAACTTAGCCTGATCCAACTCCATGTTTCTTTCACCATTATCCTATACACTTAAGGTCCATGCCTGTTCTCCAGATTTCTGTTTATATAAATTAGAGAACTCAAACAGCTCTTTTGAGTGTAGTCCCTCCTCAGGGGTCACACTCTCAACCTCACCTCTAGGGTCCTGCTGGGACTTCAGTCTAGTTACAGGCCTAGAAGCAAATAGAAGAGTTGGGGGTGGCTCCTGAGGAGAATCAACATTATCTTGCCTGGTAACTGCCTCGAGAGGTCATCACTATTGCTTCAGGCAGCACTGGTCTGTCTCCTCAGACAAAGGTGGAAATGCTGACGGCTTCATGGGCTGGGCTGAAGAAAGGATGTTGCCACCACTGGGGATGGGGAAGCTGTTTCTTCTGGCAAAAAAAGATTCATCAGAGTTTACAAACTCAGTGTCCCCAGCTTCATCAGGGTCCTCCCACACATCCCCATTTTAAGCTGCAGGGTCCCATTCTTTTCCAATCAATGCACTCACTTTAACAGTAGATAGCTGGTGAGGCTGTGCATGCATCTTTCATTGCAGGTCAGCCACTCACATGATAAGAGCTCGTGTCTGTTTTTCCACAATTTCAGCTCTTTCTCTACAGGAGATAAGACTCTCACATAGTGGAATCTTAGCAGATTTGAGGCTCAGTATCTGCTTCTGAACCCAGGGGACAGAATCCCTGAGTTCATCATTTTGTCCACTGAACTTAGGAGCAACAAACCAGCTTCATTACGTTTCTTGGTTCTTCACATATGGTGATATGGTCAAAGGTATTATGTATAGAGTCACTAAACTCCTTACGTCTCACATATATATATAATATACGTGTGTGTGTGTGTGTGTGTGTGTGTGTGTTTCTGTATGGGAGTTTATTAAGTGTTAAATTACACACACATAAAGTCCCATAATAGGCTGTCTACAAGCTGACAGAGAGCCAGTCCAAGTCCCAAAACTGAAAAACTCGGAGTCAGATGTTCAAGGGTAGGAATCATTCAGCACAAAAGAAAGATGTAGGCTGGGAGGCTCAGCCGGTCTCTCCTTTTCATGTTTTTCTGCCTGCTCTATATTTGTTGGCAGCTGATTAGATTGTAACCACCAGATTAAGGGTGGTTCTGCCTTCCCCAGCCCACTGACTCAAATGTTAATCTCTTTTGGCAACACCCTCACAGACACACCAAGTATTAATATTCTGTATCCTTCCATCCAATCAAGTTGCCACTCAGTATTAACCATCACATACTATAATAAAAGTTATATAAATGTGGCCTTCCTATCTCTCTCAGAATATCTTATCAATACTGTATTCACCTATTTTCCAACTGCAGAAGGCAGAACCACAGAATCAGGGAGACTACTTACCTCTTAATATGATTCATTTGGGCTGAATTCTGTTTCCTATTGGGTCTTTGAGAATTGCCATATTTTAAAACCTTCTATGTGTATCATCTAAGCCTCATGATAATCCTCCAAGGCATCAACATCAACCCATTTTACAAATGGGGAAATATTACTTAGATAAATAAAATACCCAAAGTTACACATCCAGTGAGTTGTAGAACAGGAATTCAATTATTGGTCCTTCTAACACTGAGTCATTTTCTTTGTTTCACTTAAATTTATAAGTACATTCTAATTATACTACTAATGCAAATACTAATTTCATCTAAATTTAAGATAAATTTTACATCAGTTGTCTTCTGAACATATTAAGACTAAGTCCTTATTTTGAAATATTTGATAAAATTCACAAAGAAACTGCTAAACTCAAGAACAGTATCCCTTTAACGACTATAATGATAACAGAAAATTTTATATAAAATAATGACAAAACTTGATAAGCTATACTCTTGTTTGATGTTAACATTATTTCTTCTTTGATGTTTGGTTTCTTTGTCAGACACCCTTGCTTGCAGCCCAACAACTATTCCCAGTCTCTTATCCCTATCTTTTTAAACTTTAAAGGCTAGTTTTCCCTGAATCTTTTTGCAGAAAGAGTGGCCAGGTGATTCAGGTCTGCCTAATGAAAAGTGAAAGTATTCATTTCATTGATTAAAGCAAACAATCACAGCTCTTTGCCCTTGTTCCTTTCGTCATGTTTAAAACAATGGTTTGATGCTTGGAATTATGGCAGCTATATTGTCACCATAAGCCAACATGCCCAGCGTTCCTAGATTTAGCAAATAAATATACGGAATGGCCAGCTACAGTTTCAATTTTATATAAACCATAAATAAATTCATAGTATATATCCCAAATATTTTATAACATATACTAAAAAGAGTATGATAATTGTATAAGGTACACAAACATATATTGTATATAACCTAAAGAGCTTAAGCTAAAGTCAACCTAAACACTGAGTTCCACAAACTGTCAAAACCCTGAGTTTTGTTGTTGCTTTATTAAATTGTGAATGGATAAAAGGAATGTAAACTATGACCATGGCATAAACAAAAACAATACGCAGAATACTGTGTTAACTGCCACCCAGCCTAAGAAAAAGAACCACCTCAGAGGCAGTCTCTATCCTGGATTTTGTGTTTAATCTTCCTTTGACATTTTAATAATTTCCTTGCTTTCCTTTGTTCATCTTTATTCCCTCTGAAAAGCTAAGGATGCAAATAAGACCTTTGCACTTTAAAATGTACTGAAGATAGCCTGAAAATCTTCCTTCCCTTAGCCCCTAAATTACTAGTCTGTGAGAATGATGCAAAATCTAAAACAGGAAAGTGCTCTTTATCTTGGTCCTCAGAAAAAAACATTGCAAAAGTTGGCCTTTGCAGAGGTAGGTAGGTTTATAGACAAAAAGAGATACAAGTGACAAATGAAGTGGGGGGCAGAATCCTACATTTTGGGGGTTGAGGTTTTAGTCTTTGTGTGTTTTTAGAGAAGCAACTTCAACTTTCAGGTTTCTAAAAGGGCTCCCCTGCCTTTCCTTCAGCTCAGCCCTAGGCAAGCAGACCCCCTGCCCAAGCCTCCCTCCTGAGATCATGCATATGCTTTCTTGCTAAATGACTCTTAGCACCGTTATCTCCTCATGGGATACATCTGTTGGGTGCCTCGCATCCTCAGCTCCACTTTCATCTCTTCTATCTCAACACATTGTTTCCTCCACTCCTGGTGCCAGGGTGGAAGGAAGCCATCCCGCCCGGGCCACACTCGGGGATTGGCAGCCAATGAATGATTGGCAGCGGGCATCTCTGTAAGAGCTTTGGCATGTTGCAGAGTAGAAGTCCCGTGCTAATGAATGCCATCTACACCTACCAGATGTGCCACTGGGTGACATGCCAGATCTTTTACATAATGCCATTCTGCCGGACACAAGACAGCTGGGGGTGGGGAGGGTGTCTTAATGTTTTGGGATTGGAGTGGATCTGGCTTTCCTTTATTTTATTTCTTATTCAGACCACCCGCCACCGCCCATACACCCATTCAGCTCCCTTTACATTGGGCTAAAACCTATGGCTCTGGGCATCTCTCTCAGAGACAGTGGTGAAGAAGGAGAGTATCCCCTGTCCAGGACAAATCCCCTGTCTCCTGGCTCTCCTCCGTATTCATCATTTCCTTGAGTTCCCTCCCTGCCCGCATCCAGATTCAGGAAAAGGAAATAGTTTTCAAAATTAAAGAAATAAAAACACTAATAGGATCTGAAATGAAAGGAAGAAAGGGAGGGAAAGCTACACTTCCCATCCTCCTACCTCCACCCCGCCCCCGTCCCTAATATTCTCTTCTTAAGTGCAAGGATGAGCTTCCCACGACCCATCCCTTTGGCAGCTTCTCCTGTTCTTTCCTCTTCCACCGTCCACAGGAAACTGGAGAGTGTTTATCCCCAAGGGTGATATCCTGTTAGTGTCTGTCCCACGTTCTGGCTGAAGTAGCTGTCTTAAGGTGGAGGCGTCCAAAACTCCGTGCCGTTTGGGGAGGAATGTTTCCTGGAGTGGGATGGACATGGTGGGAGGAGAGGAAAATGAGCAAACCACTTCTGACGGACGGCGGGTGCGTGCGCCTGCAGGAGTGTTTGGGCTCGCCTCGCCCAGCCCTCCATCCCCGAAGGGAGAATGGCTGGAAGGGACTCGGGGTTGCCAAGAGGGTCCCCCCTCTCTTTCGCTAAACCTGCGGGTACCGGCTGCCCTGTAATCCGCGGGACTTGAAGAGGGCAGGCCTCCGCTCCTCTTCCCCAGGGGCCGTGCCCCCGCACACACCCACACCACCCGTCCCGCGACACACACGCAAGTACTGGGGGAGACTGGGCGCCGCCCCCCGCCAGAGCCCTGCCCCGCGCCAGCCCGGGGCCGAGCCGCCAGGCCCCTTCTCCTGCACCCCCGCCCCCGCCCGCCGCCGAGGCTCCAGATGGCGGCTCCTTGCGCTCGGCTTGCAGCCCCCAGACGCCGCCCGGCAGCAGCCGGCGGTCGCTCCCTCCCTCCCAGCTGCTGCGGCAAGACCGGGGCCGTTTCGCGAGGCGGGCGGGCTCCTCGGCAGGCTCGGATTGCGGTGCGGGCGCAGCCGCCGAGAGGCCCGCAGGAGCTGCGCTCGCGGGGAAGGAGCCCCGCAGTCCGCAGGTAAGGAAGCCGCGGGCAGGCGCGGGGCGCGGCGGGAGCGGCGTTCCCCGGACCCAACCCGCTCTCTCTCCCGGCCTCCCTCCCCTCTGCCGCTTCTTCCCCGGAGCGAGGGGCGGGACAGTGTCTGGGCCGGAGCGCCCGCGAGAGGCAGGGAGCGGCCGCACGGCAGCCAGGAGGGGGCGCCAGCACCCCGGGGCCGGAGCTGCAGGGCTGGCTCTGCCGGGCGTCCCGCCCCCGCCCCGGGAACGGTCCCACGGCCGCAAGGGTGCCCCCTTCCGCTGGAAAGCGGTAATGCCCACCGCCACCCACTTCGGTTCGCGCTGAACTCCTCTCCCGCTTCCTTTTTGCATCTGTCTCTCCTCCTCCTCCTGCCTCCCTCTCGGTCTTACTCCCCTCTTCCCTCTCTCCGTCTTCCTCTCAGCCCCTTTTCTTTTCCTTCTCCCTCCCTCCCCGCGGGCCCCCCAGTACTTTTCCTTCTCCTCTCTGATCACTGTCTGGCGGAGGGTTTGCCGCCCGCCGGGAGGTAGTGTGGAGGGGATGGATGCGTTTCCCGCCCAGGCTCGGGTTCGGGCCCCTCTCCGTAGGTACCTCCCTGGGTGCTGGCGAAAGCAGCCCTGAGAATGGCAGCTCTCAGAGGTTGAAGTCATTGTTTTCCGGGGACGGGGCACGGCGACTCTTTGATTTGGGGGTGAGTTATGCATTTGGGGCAGCGATCCCCTGGAATGCAGAGCTGGGAATTTCCCTTGCTAGACAGTTGCCTGGAGTAGTGAGCCCCTTTCTCCCACCAAAAAGTCAGGACAGTCAAGAGTCAGTCTCTGTCTCTCTCTCTCTCTCCTTCTCTCTCCAAATCCGAAGGACAGCCTCCCTGTACAGTCTTCACCGTTTTCCTCCGAGGCAGCCGCGCCAGGGGAGGGAAGGGACGCTGAAAGGCCGAGATGGCTGGCATCTCCGCGCCCATCTGATGCCCTCTCTAATCCCCCAGTGCTCTAGCGCGTGCCCCAGTGTCCCCAGACCCTTCGCTCGCCCCTGCGCAGAGGTCGTCGGGTTTTAGACCCAGAGAGCACCTTCCGTAAGCTCCCGGCCCAAATCCCCTCGGAAACATTAATCACAACGACCAGCGGATGCAAAATGTGTGCTTATGTCGAGACTGTCTTTTAATCCCGAACATAATTCTAAAAAGCAGCATCAGACAAGAGCTTTATTAATCCCTTACAAGAGCAAATGCGATCTCTGACCTACTAGACTTGTTTTCCTGTAATTTCACAGGGTTAGCCTCACTAGAGGAATGTGCAAGGGCAGAAGGGAAACTGTGAGGAGACCTGCGGCTCATTAGCAACATAATAGGGTGCACTTCAATAAAAGTACGGTCCTGAAGTGGAGTGGACTCGCTGTCCAGGAGTCCGAAATTCAACAGGGGAGGCAGCGAAGTGAGTGATGTGGATTGGAGGAAGGAGTATCTGGGCCTTAGGTGCAGTGTGGTTGGGAGCTGGGGTGGGAACCCAGTTCTGTCTCTTCTGAAGCCTTCGGATCCATGTGACTTAATTTGGGGGCTATCCCCTTGCGAGGACTCTAGGGCAACCGGAGGGGCTCCCCTGCAACACGGATGAGTTCAGACTTTGACCCCTTGGGGCCTGTTTCTTGCACTTGAGATTTCACTATCATGTAGTTCAATTAATCATATCTCCCTTCTCCCATTTTATTCAAAACTGTCTTCCAGTTCCCTCATAATCGTAATTTGCGTCATTGCCTTTTATCGTTGATTAATTAGGAAGCCGAAAATGATAATGGAGGGTCGGGCCAATAAATTAGCTTTAGGAACAGACGGACGGACGTCCGAGGCTCCCGCCTGGGTGGGCACTGTCCACCGAAGCGGGCGGGGGCCACCCTCGCTGCCGCTGGCTGCGCAGGAAGGGGTTAAGGAAAAGGCGCTCCGTACTGGCTGAGTGGAGAGATCCACTCTGAAATAAAGCCGGTGGGTACAAGGAAAAACTTCTCACTGCACTAAGTGGAGATACTCTTATGACGCTCAGCTTTTCCCGTTTCATATAGAAAAGGAGAAAGGAAGAATGGGACAGGATAAGGCTCAGACTCCTGTTTCTTTGAGAGGCCTCCCTACTAGCTGGTAAACGGGTTTAAAGTCTGGGCCTTATTAGGAGTCTTTTTTTTTTTTTTTTTTTTTTTTTTTTTTCCAGAGCTGAAATGTTAGATTTACTCTTGATCATTTCCTTCCTCTTTCCACTTACCTACTGGCCTGAAAGAAGGAAGAAAGAAGGGAGGAAACAAGGAAAGGAGGAAGGAAGAGGGGAGAGAGTGAGAGTGAGAGACAGAAGAGAGATTGATTGTCAAGATCAGATCAGTTAACTCCCTGGCCAAAGAGGAAAGTTGCTCACGCGGAGTTGCTCGCTGCCCTTGAAGAAGCAGCAGCTTTAGGTAGACGGGTAGGGTCTCCTCTTCTTTCCCTTCCTGAAATAGATCACTCCTCCAGAGGGCTGAAAGACAGCACTTTGCCAATCTTCACAGCTTCGCCCTGGCCTCTTTAGCTTTCAATTGAAAACCAATTAAAGGTTTCTATAAATCTGTTAGTGCCCCTTTTATCTGGGGACCCCTGATGCATGCGATATTGCCCTTTAGATGCCTCTTCCGTGTTTTGTTTTACAATTGTTGCATCAATATAATGCGGCCTTTCTTCTCCTGTCTCTATAGATACAGATACACAAGGAAAACCAAAGCTATTCAGGCTCCTCATTTGTCCAGCAGCCTAACAGTGGTGCCCTTTCTCTGCTGCTGCTTTCCCTGCTTCGGAAGCAGCAGTTATGGTAGAAGCAGATGGCTACTGATTGCAGGAGCTTTGTGGCTCTAATACTGAATACTTTATGGAAAAGGACTTTATCATGCTTCGTTCGGCAGAGGAACAAGGCATGAAATTTATGGCCAGGAAAAATCAATCTTTTTTCAAGTTGTGGCTCCTTCTCAGCAGTGTCTCCTTTGCCCCCAGGGGGGTTGAACACTGAGGAATTGGTTTTATCTTATTCTCCTTTTTGCTGACAGCCCTTTTAGTTAGGATAGTGGATTAAGAGCCAGAAGTTTACGAAATACTCCAGGTTGTTGCTGTATCAGCATTCTCTGCCCTCAGTGGGGGGAAAAAAGCAGAGAAATATCTTCTCGAATGCTGTTTCAGGTCATGTTTTCTTGGATGTTCTCTTAGTTGATGGGTAAAATATCATTGTTCATTATTTTATTATCGATGAAGAACAGAAAAGAATGTTAAGAGCTCCCATTTGAAGTCAGTGGAGGATACTGATATTGAAGGAGAGGGGAAATGGTGGGGCATTTGGTGATGCAGGTGTGCTTCTCTACTTTGAAAGGGTCTGAGCTGTGAAGATAATTAGGGAATGCCTGAGTTTAGGGTTTGGGGCTCCAAATTGGATTTTCAAGGTTTTCGGGATATACAGAGTCCAACCCTATACTGGAGGCCTAATTCACCACAATATATCATTTCTCTTTTCTTCCCTTTCCCTGAGTTTTACTTCTCTAAATTCTCTTGAGTCAGGTTTGCTCTGGGTCTCTTGCTAGGTTGTGCCCCTTCTCTATATGCAGAGGATACATCCTTCTGCTCCTCCTGTCCTCAGAGTCCGTTTTTGTAGAGTAGTGTCACACCCGCCTTCCTGAGATCTATAACATAAAGTCACACAGAAATGCTTCTAACATATAGAGCCCTAAATGCCTACTGGCAGCCTGGCACCAAGAGAAGGTAATCAATACCAACTCTGAGTCTCCATTCCCATTTCAGACAGTCTTTGTCTCCCTGATTTTAGAAATGCCATTTTATGTTCAAGAAACATTTGTTGAGTGCCTTCCATGTTCCAGGTCTCTTTTCTCTGCCTTTCCAATTCTTTTACCTTGTACTCAAACGCTGAAAAAGGCCAGGAGGACAGCATTCAGCTTTCACAAGGGTCACCTAACTTTCTACCACAAGGTACTTCCTTCCAACTCTCCAGATTCTACCACCCCACAGTCTGGCATGCATCTTTGCATCTTGTTTCTCTCCAAAGAGGAAAAAAAGGGGGAGGAGAAAGCTGATATTTAAAAAATTCTTTTTACCCAGCATTCCAAAGCAGAAGACAATGAGATGCTGTAAGCTTGGGGCATTTCTTCTGTGCTAGGCTGAATGCTCGGCCAGCCTCATCACACTTAATTCTTATGCTGACCCTTTAAGTATTATGTTACTGATGTTAAGTATTATAATACCAGGATTTCACAGATCCCCCTGCTTTACAGGAAACAAAAGCATAGAGATGCTAACTAACTCAAGCAGGTGGCCTAGCTGGGATCTGAACCCAGGCTTGACCGGCAATAGTCATAGCCACTCTATAAATAAATGCTGTCTTTACCATTTTACAAATAAAGATACTAAAATTCAGAGCCGTCAAGTGATCTGCTCACACAGGTAAGAGATTACAGACCTGGGGTTCAGACCTGAGTGTTCAAAACCCCAAATATCAAACTCTTAACCACTGCCCCTTGGATACTTCGGAAGGAAGAGCAACTGGAAACCCACAGTTGACCGCTGTTACCTGATCCCCAGTCCTAGACTGGGCGGGAAGTTTCTTGTAACGTGAGACTGTGGGCTGGGAAAAACGGAAAGCACCAGCTTGGGCTGCGCGTGCGCAAAAGCGGCGGAGAAGGAGGCCCAGCTGGGCACCCCGAAACAGGCAGCTCCTTCTGTCCTGCGGCCCACAGTGCTCCGTTCGAGGCCCGCGTGAGGACGCTGGGACAAGGAGCGAGGGCAGCCACGGGGAGAGCCTGCCCTGCACGAAGCTCCAGTGCCAATGGTGTAGCTCCGGCCTCTGGAGCCCAGTTACCTCCTCCTGCGGAGCTCCGGGACTTGGGTGTGTAGGGGAGGGCTGGGGCCATCCACCTTGTCGGCATCTGAGCCACAGCGCTTCACAGGAGAGGGGAGGTCGCGCGCGCTCTCAGAGGCCTAGAGCCCTGGTCAGCGA